CTCTTGGGCAGGTCTCACCTCCAGGATTTGAAGGAAGTTACTCACAACATCCACTATGAAACGTACCGTGCCAAGAGACTGAACGACAACGGCGGGCTGCACCCCATCTCCTCCAACGACACCCAGGAAAGCAACCTGTAGTCAGTCAGCGAAGGATCATTCAGGAGATCAAAACAGTGCAGTGAAGCTCAAAAAATAATCTACAAACCATTATAAGATCATGTTCTCGTCAGCTTTGCTGCATGAGTGAAACATCTGTCAGTCTGTAACAGTCGCTGTCATTTAGTGTGGAGTCTCAGACTCATCAAACATATCCTGTTACTTTCATATGAAGAAAACCCATAAATGTTTGGTGTAACGGTCCAGAGCATCGAGTGCTGGAGGTGAGCCTTTGAATGGCCTTAGTTTGAAGAAACAGAGACTATTTTTCATTTGACGTATGAGTGAATGGCTAGTAAGAGATGGGGTCAGATACCATTTTTGTCTCAAAAGTTTAACATTTTATGTTACTGCTGTCTTATAAATGTCGTGTGTGACTGTTAAAAGCTTGTGGTTAGCCACAGGGCTAGCTACTTCATAATACATTTGTCACGATAACTATAAATTGTGACATTTGTGTACACGTAGAGTTTAGAAAATAGCATTATTATCCTGCAGGATCAGAGCTAATCTCAGTTTCTCCAAGCTGAGGCCATTCAGTGATTCGTCTAAAACCGTTAGACTGATCCTAACTTTTCTACACAATCCCACTTAAAATTATACTCAAATATTCGCTGTCAGGCATTAAAGTATTTAAGATGTCCCCTTTAAAGCCTCAGAGTTACTAATTATAACTGAACATTTAACAGTTCCTGATCTTCAAACCACATCTTAATTATATTTGAGACAAATTTAAAATGTTCTAGATTTGTGTAGCAAAGATGGATGAATTTAGACAAGATCAAATAATTAGGTTTTAATATTAAATCTGTATTCCTGCTTATTTGGGACTAGCAAGCCAGCTCTGCAGGTGATTACTAAAATTTAGATTTTTAAAATTCTTAGTAACAAAATTCAGACAGAAATCACCGACTTTACTTTCAGATTTTAGTTGATGCAGTTCTTTAAAACCTCCTGCTTTTACTGCCCTTCATACTAAAACAGCACGAGTCCACAGGGTGGGTGGCTGTTGTGTTTAAGTAAGAAAGATCATGTTCAAGCCTCTTTAGTGGTTTTTTTCCTCTGCACAATTTAATCTTTTTTATTCAGATGGATGAAAAACTTACACATTTATTTGTCGTGTTATTTTTTGTCACCCTCAATTCTGTTTTCTGAACTTTTGTTGCACATTTTATTTTAATCCCTCTACTCTTATTTACAGTGGGAAATAAATAATAACACCACAGCTGTGTAGGCAATTTGGCATTATGTTTGTATGGTCTGAGGCAAGCGAACAAATACAAAGCATTAGATCAGAAGGGGAACTGTTGCGCTATTTTAGAGTTAAACACCTGCTGGTCACCACTAGGTGGCAGCATGCTGCAGCATTAGGGATGTGAGTCACTGCTTCTTTCTTGCACCTGTCAGATCCATTCTGAGAGGATTTTCCAAGGTTGCCAACATCTCTCTTCACGTCAAGTTTACTAAATACCCTTTTTGGTTAAAACCCAGAAGGTATGCACTTGAGCTGTGAACATGTTTACCAAGTTGTCTTCAGGATTTCAACATTTATAAAATGTTTGCCATGTAGAGTCTGCAGTGGAGAAGAATAATGCCAAAATTATAAAGTAATTTATTCTTTCAACAAACCAGTAATTAACCAGTATGATGCTGATGGGGTGTTTGAAGCATATTTGTGGTTTTAGTTTAAAAGAAATGAAAAAATAAAGTATCATATCGTGTTTGTGTGAGCATGCTTGTGTTCATGCTGCCTGTTTGATTACCACTGAAAACCTTAACATTTCTGAATGTGTGTGATCTGAACATTAAACTGGGAGGGAAATGGCTGCAGTCTTAATTCCAGAAACTCAAGCGACAGCCCATCATGCCTCTCTCTCAGCCAGTACAACGTCACCCTGTACGTTTATTTAATGACTACTTTAATCAAAGTTGCTGTGACACATTTTAAGCATAATTTTTGGAGTTATTTATACATTTGTGCCCTATTGTTGTAATTTATTCTTTATTTAATAAAAATGCACTTGTCCAAGTTTTTAGATTTTTTGTGATTTGTTGATTTAATTGCACAATGCCACTCTGTCACCATTTTTGTCAGCATATATGCTTTTATTGTGGAATTTTATTTTTTTTTTTTTTACCGTGTCCTGTCTGGCTGTGAAGCAAGCAGAATTGATGTCTGAATGCTGGTGACAAGCCTTACAGATTTACTCTCAGGTGGAGCATCAAAGCGTCTGCTTTTAATGACACGCCTGATACTTAAAACTTTATTGTTATTGTTGTTGAATGCATTGTAATTCCGACCAGACACGGAGACAGAGGTGAAAGAGAAAGGAAAAGAAAAGGTGGGGAGGGGGGGGGGGGGGGGGTCCACAAAAATAAACAATAATGAACAAGATACACATATGAAAATTGTCGTAATATGCAGACACTGTAAGGGATTTAAATCAACATGAAAAATAAATGTTTCAAACTTTGCTTAAGTTAAAAAGCACTTTTTATCAGCAAGTCCAGCCTGGAAAACATCCATCTAATGTTGAGCTTAGATGAGATTCAGTGTGAAAAAACCCCAGATACACCTCCAGAAGGTGTCAGCAATATTTAGTCAGTCAGAAACCCCACTCTAATGGAGCTGCCAGAATGTTTGAAGATAATCCAGGAAGCATGAAGTAAAATCTCATCACATTAACCTTTAATATTGGCCAGCAAGAATGTCTGAGGTCTGTCAGACTGGAATCTTTATAAAACATGATTTTTGTTTTAACAAGCAAGGACCCTCATTCACAAGAGTGTTTTGAGAACACGCCAGTGGTTTAATCTGGGAAAAATCGAAACAGACCATCAAACATAAAAGCACAATATACAGTGATGAGTCAGAGTTTTAAAGAATAAGTTTCCGGCTACCAAGAGTCTTACTCCACCCACATTTCCAGTGTGAAAAACGCGCCACAAGGGGGGGCTGCTTGGTGGACATATCACTATTCCTCACCACACCCCTGGGCCACTTGTCTCAGAGACACCCAGTCAGTCACTCGGAGAGCCAAGGCGCTAACGAACTTGCACACACACACACACACACACACACACACACACACACACACACACACACACACACACACACACACACACACACACACACACACACACACACACACACACACACACACACACACACACAGCTCAGATGGACAAAAATGCAGCAATTCTTAGTCCCTTAAAACAAAGCAAGCTGCCTAAACGCAGTTTTTTTAGGTAATCAAATCAATCAATCAAAGATACTTCATTAATCCCAGAGGGAAATTAGAGTTTCAGTATACACAATTGAGAGATCAGACATACATGGGCAAGACACATGACTAGAAGGGTTGGGGGGGTTATCTGTCTGCATTCCTTCGTGGGGGTTTTAGTTGCTTGCAGCTCAAGGCTACCAGAGCGTCAGACTCAGATAACAAAAATTTGTTTGGGTCAGGCTGAGATAATTTTCCTCTCTGCCTTCAGTCTTTAAACTGATCATTTCCAGTCCTTCAATGAAGCCAATTTTGGGTTTTAAACTTGTCCACACCGTCCGGTGACTCTCCGAGATCACATCCATTTTGCGCACTAATACCAGTATCGCAGCTAGAACATTGTCCTGCTTACCCCGAAAAATTTTTTAAAAAAAATTTAAAAAATCTAAAAAAAGAATCTACCTCCTACACTAGAGGACAGAGGGAAGGGAGGAAGGTTTGTTTTGGAGACAAGTGAGCTGCATCGTTTTAAACCGATGACTCGTGAGTTGCTTTGCGATTCCTATTTCAACTATATGGAGGCATGGCCTAGCCCAGTGGTCTCCAACACGTCACTTGCAAGCTACCAGTAAGAAAGAAAGAAAACCCTAACCCTAACCCACAAAACAACAACATTTAAACATAAAAAAGAACTGAAAGAAATTTTAACAAATATTTTAAAATGAGAATTTTTTTTAAATTATTTTATTGTGATTAAATATGTAAGGAAAGGGAGAGAGAAAATAAATAGGAAAGAGGGAAATTGGTGGATCCTGGGAAAGGCAGAATAAGAGCAGAACAAGGAGAGGGTGGTGACGAAGTTCACAGCAAAGCCAGCTTAAACAGGTGAGTTTTCAGCTGCTTTTTAAAGGAGACCACTGAGTCCACTGATCTCAGGCTCGGGGGGAGAGAGTTCCAGTCTGGGGGCCACAGCAGCAGATGATCTGTCACCTTTGGTCTTTAGCCTGGTGCTGCACAACCAGTAGGGTTTGGTCACTGGACCTCAGGGACCTGCTGGGGGTGTAGGGACTGAGAAGATCACCTATGTGTCACATTGCAAGTCAGGAGGAGGTTTGGACCCAAAATGCAGGCACCCAGAACGACATGAGGCAGGAGTGGATGTAATTGAACACATTCCTTTCTTAGGAAGTAGAACAAAAAATTCTAAAAGGGCAGGAAGCCAAAAAACAATGTCCTGAAATCCAGGATAACGAAAACTCACATAGAGCACAAAACCTAGAGACGAGGAACAAAACAACGCTGACACCAAACAATGGACCGACAAATCACTGAGACACAGACAGGACTTTATACACTGGGGAGGATGAGAGGGAGATGACCTGCAGGTGTGTGGGGAGAGAGACCAGGTGAACTGGGTTACTAATCAGGGAGGAAAACTAACATGACCTAAGAATAAAACCTAAAGACAAGAAGAGCAGGAAACATAACTAAATAATCTAAGGGGGGAGAGAAACCTCAAACACCGATGGGAAAAACACACAAGAGAGAACTAATAATATGAACAGCTGTAGCTAAAGGAAAATGACCTAAGAGAAAAACCTAAAAACCAGAAGGGCAAAAAACATAATATTCTAAAGGGGAAGCTGAAACTAAAGGAAAAACACTACAGAAAGAAAAGCTACAGGTGCGTGACTAAAGGGGACCACGGGAGCACAGGAACTGGGAGGGGGGGGACATGGAGAACACCAGGAGACACATGAGGAAGATGCAGAACAAGGACACATGAGGGCGCTAGGAGACACAAAAGGAGAACCTAGAGAGGGATGGAGAACAGAAGGAGACACATGGGGGGAGACGCAGACGCAGACCATGAAACTGTAAGTAAGTAAGAACATTTTATTTTTATAGCACTTATCACAGACATAGAATCACAAAGTGCTTCACATAGATCAAAACAAAATAGAACATAAAGTCATAAAATCAGGCATAGTGCGGCGGGCGTACATGTGTCATTTACCCAAACAAAGCCATTCAGTCAAACATGGCATACGAAGAGATAGAATTCCTCTCACTGATCGGACTTATGTTAAGCATAATTCTGCGCACACGTAGACACATAAGAGACCTGGATGATGAAGCTCAATGGTTAAAAGGAATCACGGAAGTGGTATGATGTGCTCTGTCGCGCGTCTAGACGGTACCGTAGGAGGCAAGCTGCCATGGTTCGCCGCATGCTAAAGCAGCGGGCTATCTAGGTGTGCACAGCGTCCCCCGGGCCCCTCCTCCTCCCCCTCCTCCCTGTCCGGAACTCTACCTCACCAGTCTGAAGCAGCCACCTTGTCCGTAACAAGTCCGGACCTGTTACTAGGGGCTTCGTCCGGTTTAATTACGGAAAACGTTATCCGGATGTTTGTATTCAGACACAAAGGTCTTACGGTCGAAGCTTTGAAGAGCCAGCAGAAATGACGCAATTTGAGCGTTGGTCACCACACCATCTCTGATGTGCTGACTGTTAAGGAAGGTTGCTGGCTGATGCTGAGTTTCAATGAGGATTTTCTGTCCACCGATTAGTCTGGACAGAAAAAGTGTTTAACCGCCCACATGGTGGTAAGTAAAGCTTTTTCACAGCCAGAGTACTTTAACTCAGGACCGGACAAGAGCTTGCTAGCATAGGCTACGACCTGCCTGTCGCAGTCATATACTTGGTAGAGACCGGCACTCAAACAGTGAGATGAAAAACTGACCTCAAGGTGGAACTCCTTGTCACAATCGGGGAGCGCCAAGCACGGAGCTGAGCATAAAGTGGCCTTCAGATCATCCATGGCCTGTTGCTGCTGCTCAGCCCACTTGAAAGGCACACCCTTCTTCAGTAGGTTAGTCAGAGGTCTCGCTATCTGAGCGTAGTGTTCTACGAACTGGCGCGAGTAGTTGCACACCCCTAGAAAACTCCGAAGTTCGGAGACATTCGTAGGAGGTGTGATGGTGGCCACATCTTGAATTCTGCCGAGTTGAGGCTGCACTCCCTGTGGTCCCACAAGGAGGCCAACAAACTGAACCTTTGACCTGCACCACTGACCTTTGGCGAGAGAAATCTTTGCACCAGCGGCTGCGAGCTGACCCATGACGTGGTCCAAGGTACGCTTTCGAACAAGAATGTCGTCGACATAGATGAGGGTACCTCGCTCTTGAGCATCAGGGCAGGCTTTGTCTAAGAAGATGTTGAACTCAGCTGGTGCGTTGGAGTAACCAAAAGGACACAGAGGGAAGGTGTACTGGCGGTTGGCAAAGGAAAAGGCTAGTTTGTATTGGTCAGATTTATGGACAGGAATTTTCCAGAATCCAGACACAATGTCAAGGATGGAGAAGTATTTAGCGTCTTTCACTTTCGGGAGTCCTTGTTCCAAGCGGGCCATCGGCCACCTAGACAAGGGCACCTGTTTGTTGAGTTGTCTGTAGTCAGTGGTCAGTCGCCACTTACCATTAGGTTTCTTTACTAGCCACAAGGGAGCCGAGTAGGTGCTGTTACAGGGTCGGAGGATCCCTTTCGCCAAGAGGCTTTCAACGATTTCCTGGACTGGTCCGTGGGATGCCAGGGTAATCTTGTACTGATGCACAAAAGTCGGTGCAGCATGTGGCGGTGTAGGAATCCTGACTTCATGGATAGTGGTTAGACCACAGTCCAAGGAGTCGAGTGAAAGAAAGTCTTTGTATTTTAACAAAAGTTGTCGTAGCTTGTCTCGCTCTACATCGTTGGCAAGAGCATCTGCTTGGTACACGACCTGTTCAATTTGAGAGAAAACATCAGAGGGGATCTCTGATGGAGGCTCTGAGCTCAGCAGTGAGCATGCAGTTTCCCCATGCTCAGGGTGACCAGCGTTAATTTGTCTTTTAATGTTGATGGTCTGCCATTGTTTAAGAGTTCTGGCACTACCATGTGGCCTGTTCTTTGTGCTGTGGACCTAGACCCAGTGTCAATCTTCCCAGTTGTTTTAACTTGTGGTGAAAGCAAGCCAGCAAACCTAGACTTTCTCCAAGATTTGGTTGATGAACTCCAACATCTGATGTTTAATGGTCTTTCATTTTGTGGCTCAAATATCAAAATCCAGGTGAAATGCTTTGTGTGTGATGCACCAGCTGCTTCTTTTATTAAGAATGTAAAGCTGTGCAGTGGATACTTTGGCTGTGGAAAATGTGAGCAGAAAGGGTATTGGGTTGGAAAAGTGGCTTATCTCAAATTTGATGGTGTAAGCCCACGGACTGATGAATCATTCAGAAATAAATTGCAACCTCATCATCATTTAGGGGAAACGCCCCTTACAGATCTTCCCTTAAACATGATCACTTCATTTCCAGTTGATTACATGCATCAAGCATGTCTTGGCGTGACAAAGAAATTGTTGCTGCAGTGGACTAAGACTGGATCAAGAGCTGTGAGGATGTCTGCACAACAGCAGTCCCAGGTTAGTGGGCGTATGCTTGCCCTAAAAGACAGCATTCCTTCAGATTTTGCAAGATCGCCTCGAAGTCTCCGCCTCTTGGAGAGATGGAAGGCCACAGAGTTTCGCCAGTTCATGTTATATACAGGGAAACTTGCACTGAAAGGCATTCTGAGATCTGAGCTGTATGAACATTTTGTTATCTTTAGTGTGGCAATGAATATTATTGTATGCCCAGAACTTGTGATGACTCAAGGTGCATATGCCCACGATCTTTTGAGGTATTTTGTGAATGAAGCAAGGATTCTTTATGGCGATGAATTCATGGTGTACAATGTTCACTCATTGCTTCACATGGCCGAGGATGCAACCAAGTTCAACAGTCTTGACAACTGCAGTGCATTTCCATTTGAAAATTACCTTCATGGGTTAAAACGTCTGGTGCGATCAGGGAAGAATCCCCTTGCTCAAGTAGCAAAAAGACTGGCAGAAAGACAATGTACTGGACCACCCACAAAAGCAAAACGGAGGACAACCTTGAAGCGAGACAATTCTTACATTTTGGAGAACAGAAAATGTACTGAGCTACTTGAAATCTTGGACGATAACTTGGCACTCTGTCGTGTGTACAAGAATCCAGTGCCTCTTTTCACAGTACCATGCCAATCTTTCTTGGTTGATGTCTATCAGTTCAAGAAACAGAATTCTTGCATAGAAAAAGTCCCAGTCCCAGACCTCAGAAAAAGAGCAATAAGGATAGAAAAGAATGGAGGAAATGTTGTGTTCATGGGAGTCCTTCATTCTATGTAGATGTAAAATCTACATAGACACCCTTGATTTGTGTGTGTGTGTGTGTGCACGTGTGCGTGTGTGTGTGAGATAGACTGGCAACTTGTTTTAACTGCCTTGCCTCGTGCCCATTTGAAGTTGGAATAAAAATAAATAAGTGAGTTTGGTACCATATTTTTTACCGTTTCCAATGCTTGGTCTTGAATTATCAATTGAGTAACCCGATGTTTTGCATTTCTTTTTCTTAACAGCATGTTTGTCATTGTTGAATTTTTGGAAGACAACACAGTTGAAGCTGTTCCCAGCAGTTGGGTTGTCTTAAACAATGGGGTGAGTTTGTTGTTTTATGAACATGCAGTTTATGCAGAAATTCCTGTGGCTATGTGTCTGTGTAAACTTGGTTGAAAACTAATCTCTTTTCCAAAATCTTAGGTGCATTATTGTTACTGGACAGCAAATAAAACCACATTCAGGATCCGAAATTTGGAACATCCATCTCCTGATTGGACTCAACATAGAGTAAGGCTATTTCAGCGCCAAACAGGTACTGCAACTACTACTTGGCCATGAAATTTAAATGGTTTCCTTTGAAACTTTTCATATGAACTTGACTGTTATGCTTATTAAGAGGAATATGAAGAAGCCAAGCGTCTTGCCAGGCTGTACCTGGAAGATTCCCAAGCCGAGAGTGAGAGAGAGGTGACCAAACGAAAAGTTAAGAACAATAAGCGGTACCTGTCCAGCTCTGATGATGAAGCAGGTAATGTTTCTGTCATAAACATGTTGTATATTCTTTTTAATAATATAAAATTGCAAAAAAAAAAAAAAAACATATGTTTGCTTTCAGGTCCATGCTCTACTGAGAGAACGAGAGGTTAGTTTTGAGCCGATGTTCTACTGCTAGAACTTGTGTTTTTAACTAAATCTAATTTTATTTTGTGGGGTGCAGAGCTCCATAGTAATTTTCTAGCCCAATAATGTTTTTATTTTTTTAATTTTTTTGCAGTTCCCATGGCAAAGAGAATGCTGTTGCCGATAGAACCATCCAGCAGAGATGGTGTGTATATTATTTTCCTTTATGTTTATCTAATTTATTCAGGCCGTACTTCAATTTGTCCTCTAGACTGCCCACCAGCTACTTTAGACTGCTGTCAAATTTATTTGTTTAATTTATAGTTTTGATATGTTTTTCCCTTCAGTTCCTGTTTCGAAGAGGACAACACTGCCAGCTGAGTCCTTCAACGGTGAAGGTACACATTTTATCTTCTGCTGTAACTAAAATGTCAACTGATTTGTATATTTGCCTTTTAAAACTTTGCACTACTACTATTAAAATGTGTTTTGTCAACTCATAGATTTAATGGCCACAAGTACACCAAGGCAAAGAGTCACCCCAAGGCAAAAAGCCACTGAAGGCAAGTAACTTAAAAGACCTCTACCAAAACCTAGAGTGGTGTATTAAAATGTTTTGGTAGATTTTTTTTTTTGGAGAACTTATCATTTTATCATTTCAGATCAAGCAGCAGGCATCGCTGATGTTTTAAGGAATATTGCTGCAAACACAGGTGAGATTGAGTTTCCCCTTCTTAAAAGGTCCACTGATAAGTTAAATCTGTTATTTGTGTTGTAATTTATGATTCTTCTTTTGTCCAAGATATCTGCAAGTCACTGCTGATCAAAGTGAACATGATGGAGGGGAAAATGCACGCCATGGAGAAGCTGCTCCATAATGTGGCTTCTCGGCATTCTGAGAGCCAAACACAAGATAATCTGCGCCTGGAGCCTTGTAAAGATGCGGAGGACTTTACCTTGCTTGAAAATAACTTGCAGGACAAGGCATATTTCCAGCAAGCTGTAAGTAAACAATTATAGAAAATGGTTTTAATGAAATCTGATATTTTATTTGATCAACTTTGTACAATTTATAAGGTCCGTTTTCTAAGCCTCATTGGAGGACGGAAGCTGGGAGAAAATACCAGAAGGACCATGCTGGCTGTCGCCAGCAATGCTGTTTGGTGTGGATACAGCCTGTATGGGAAGAAGCAGAAAGCCAAGCTGTGTAACCTTAAAATATTTAGGCTGATCAAACGTGAGTTGATGCTTTTTACTGGACTTGTTTTATAGAATTTCATTAAATCTTTTTACAGCTCTCTGTCACAACTGTAAAACGGTTTCAGTAATCTTAAGGTTTCCTGTATATCACCTGTCTGTTCCCAGGTGCTGTGAAGACCTCGCTTCCAGACTCCACAGATAAGGACATAGAGGTGCAAATAATGGAAGTCCTTAAGCATGCTCCCCAGAAAGTCAGAAGAGAGGTAACTGATTTATGACTGAAAGCTTGTTGGAGACATTTATGTGCCAATTGCTCACTAATTTGTACCTCCTTTTTTTCCCCCTTCAGGCTGAAGCACAGCATCGTGCCACACAAATGGAGGCCCATTCTTCTGAGGAGGACTAAGTGAACCTGCACCCTTTCTGTTTTATTTTTATTTTTCTCTGTTTTTGTTCACAATTTTTGCTTTTTCTATTTTTTCTATTTTTATATATATATTTTTGATCATTTTTTTAAGCGCCTTGTGATTTTTATTTTGAGAGGCGCTATAAAATGTTTTGTTTAAATTGTGTATGCAAATGTCAAATCTTTATGTAATAAAAAGCTGAAAAGTCAGTTTATTGTCCATCCTGTGAAATTACATCTGATCCTGCTGCCTACTATACAATTCAATTAAAAAATACTTTATTAATCCCAGAGGGAAATTGATTGCTGTAGTAGCTCAGAATAATAATAATAATAATAATAATAATAATAATAATAAAGTCATCAAAGAGTTGTTGTATGTTACAATGGCTGTTGGCAGGAAGGATCCTCAAGTCTTGTGAAGAGAATGCTCAGGGTTGTCCATAATTTTCTTGATTCTCTGTAGAATCCTTTGCATTATCTCCTCCAGCGGTACCAAAACGAAAACATATGCATACTAAACATATGCAGTAGCTTTTAAATGAAATCAAGACACCACTGTCCTATATTACTTGTTTTTAAGGTTTTTATACATTTGTTTTTCCATTCTGGTTGTTTTTGCTGTTAATCTACCATTAGTTTTGCAATATAATTTCCTGTGGTAAATAATGAATAAAGGTGACAAAAAAAAAAAGTTAACATGAAAACGTCTCTGCAACGTGCCACAAACATTTAGTTGGTACGTTGTCACAACGTTATAATAGCGATGTTGTCACAACATTGCAGTAAAGTTGTGGATATGTCGCGACAACGTTCCAGCAACGTCCTATGTGACGTTCTGACAACGTCGTAGCGGAATTTCACTTTGGAAGTCGCTACTACGTAACATGCGACGTTCCTGCAACATCACAAGGTGTCAGAAAATACGTTGCGACTACGTTGTTGCAACGGACCTGTGTTAGTAGGGAAGGCAGTGTGAGTCAGCGTCAGAAGGCGGAATGAACGGCAGGGGTTCTCTAACACCTGCCCTCAGCTCACCCTTTCCCAGATCGATAAAAGCTTCAAAGCGCTTCAAAAGATCAACGCCAATGAGCAAAGGCATGGTACCGCTCTCACAGATGTACATGGGGTGTGTCAAAGTCAGAGGACTGATCATGAATTGGAGCAGAGACTTGGAAGACAAGAGTACTGTAGAAGGAGAGAAGACACGGGCAGTTAATGCACACGGGATCAGTTCTGGAGGTCGTACGCCTCCACCTACATCCAGGCAGACGCGGTCGAAAAGAGACCTGCTCATGATTGTGAAATCTGAACCAGTATCCAGAAGCGCGTCGCAGGGATGCCCCTGTTGCAATATCACAGATACCGTGGGCTTACCACCCCTCTCACAAGGCAGGAGGGGTCCCAACAGTAGTTCGTCAGGCTCGACACCAGGGGGTGCCTGTCCATGAAGGTTGAACTTATCATCAGTGAGGATTGAGCAAAAGACATTTTGTGTGTTTCCTGTAGGTCAGAGCCAATCTGTACATCCGGTTGCAGTGCTTCCGTCCGGTCTGGAGGCAAATCAGCAGAGCACAGGGTTAAAACCCCTCCCACATGGGAGGCATTTCCAATAGCTTGGACCTTTGAGACTTCCTGTTGCAGATTGAAAAGCTGCATCTGCATGTGGGTCTGCGTGTCATTTTTCATTTGGAAAAATTGCATTTGCATTTGGGAAATCTGCATTTGTAATTAATTTTTCATCTGGAAAATGAAAGAAGCCAAATGATTATTTTGGTCTGAAGCCATTGTACGGATGCCACAGATCCTTTAATTTGTGATAAAATTAATGGAAGCTGAATAGGAAACCCTTGCCGAGCTGGATGAATGAAAATGAGCTTTAGTTACAGGAGAAATTTGCAGTGTTTTGAATCACCAGATTCAGGAAAACACCAGAATTTTAATGCACAAGAGATGCCACGAGATGGTGGCAGAGCGCCGGCGGTGGGTGCAGTGGGGGTACTGACGTCACAGGTGACGTCACGATGTTGCGTGGCTCAGGACCCAAGTAAGATGGCGGTGAGCCAAGATGGCTGCCCGTGTTTCGTTTCCACACAAAAAGTGTTAAAACGCTGCTTAAATCTGCTCCACCGGAGTGGAACTTTATCCCGTAGGAAACAGTGGATTCTGGGACACAGAATCGCTGTCGGACGGTTAACCTGTCGGGGTCTGGTTTCCTCCCCTGCTCCGTTGTGCTCCTCCTCTGTTTATTGGTCTCACCTGTGCACAATTCCCAAATCACCCAGCCCCTGTGTATTTAACCCTGTCAGTGTTTTGTCGGTCCATTGTTTTGTGTCAGCATTGTCTCGCCCCCTCTCTTGGTCTCTAGGATTTTTGGAAAACTCTTGGTCTCTTGTGTTTTGGATATCTCCAGGTCAGCTCTTAAAAGGGACTTTACGGACTTTTGAATTTTTATGCTTGCGATTGCCCCCTCAGGCCAACAGCGTAACGGCAGGTTCAATAGTAAGCTCATGCACGAGGCGCGCATGCTGTACGTGCACACTCCTTAACAAACATAACAGCTGAGACAGTCCCGTGTGTGTGTGTGTGTGTAGCCCGGAGGACAGAGGACAGGAGAGCACGCAGCTAATCAATTAAATAATTTGGTTCTGTACCTTTCTCTTCAGCACAGCCGACAAAGGTTTATGATGGGTCAGTCCTCCTGCATGCTCAGATCATTCCCTTCCCTTGCTTGAAAAATTGTTCCAAAATGAAAGTTGAACCCACGTCTTTTTATCTGTGAATTCAATGCCGTTCGGCGAGTCTCAAATAAAAATTTGGGCATCTTACTGTAAAAAAAAAAAAATACCATTAATGTGAAAAAGAAACTCTAAATGAACTATGTTCACACCCAGAATCAAACCCAGGTCTTCTGCATAGGAGTCAGACATCTTACAACGTGAGCTACACTCTAGTAACATTAACAGTATGTGTAAATTTTATATCCTTGATGACACCTGAAACAACATCAAACCAAAGAACAGTTCGAAGTGAAAATGGCTATTTTGTTGCTAATTTGCAGGAAATATCTAGAAGAAAGTTCTACAGAAAGTAGCTAAGGGTCCTCAGAAATGTAGCTAGGTTTGTCACTAGGCGTTAGGAACAGTGACAAAGTCGCTGAGTTGGCACTACCTCTCTCTCTGCTGCTAAATCTATGGATAGCAAATGCTACGGGCTATCCCTGAGTGTGAGCACGCATGAAGCAGCCTGCTCGACCCGAGCAACTCTCTTTTTCTGTGATTTTACAGAAAAACAGGCAATCACAGTAAAAATGCCAGGGCTCATTCTACAGGACCGGGGCATTGCAGGAGAATGTATGAAGAAGAAATTTACCATTTCTATGCATGTTTTGGCTGTCAAACTTCCATAATGTCCCTTTAAGTGAGCTCTTTGTTCTCTAGGTTTCTTGCTTTTTTATACTTGGATTTTTGGATTTTCATTTTTGGCTTCCTGCCGCTTTGGATTTACTTTGGACAACCGCTCCTAATAAAGGAATTTATGTTTTCACTACTCCTGCCTTGTGTCATCCTGGGTCTGCATCTTGGGTCCTAACCTCCCCCAACTCACAGTGTGACACTATGTTCTGCCCTGTGATGGAATGGCTCTCTGTCCAGTGTGTACTCCGCCTGATTGCCCACTGGACCACTGGAGATAGGCACCAGTTCCCCCACGACCCTACGTGGACAAAGCGAATTCAGACAATGGATGGATGGATGGCTTACTATGTTCAAAGTTTTCTATTCGTAGTCTTTGTGCTAAAAATTGTGTCTTTTTGTCAATAATTCCAGGAAGTTCTAATTTAACTTTACATAATTTGCTCAGTAACTCTTCTTCTGTGGATGTCTCTAAAGACTTAATGAGTTCTTCTAACTCCTGAATATGTTTGTTTTCTGTGTTTTTCTTATGTGATGAGAAAGA